ACGGGCTCCAGCAGGCAGAGCAGTCTGAAGCTTGTTGTTCCTGAGTTGTGGGCCTGTTGGCAGGTTGGATAAAGGATGTCTGTGGCCCAGAGGAAAATGACTGCAGAGAGAGTCCAGCAGGGTGTCCTCTTCCCCGTTTGCCTGCTCTCTCCCTCTCCTTGTCTTCAGTTTTTTGCAGTTATTTACAGTGGATAAGCTGATTTGTCTCTTTTATTTTTTTCCTGCTTCACCTTATTTGTTTCACCTGTGTGATTTCTTTTGTTACTCCAGTTTAAGCTTGAAAACATGTTCAGCTTTGAAAATGGCATCTGTGTGCTCTTTTATTAACTCTGGCAATATTTGATTAGGTGAACACAAAGCAAGGGAGAAATAAAACTACAAAGCAAATTTTCCCACGATAAGGACTGGCATGTTGTATAAACACACGTTGTCCTCTGCGTGTGCTGTCGGGCACTGAGCTGCACTCGGGCTGCATCTGCTGTGTTGTGCGACTCTGTTTACAACACGGTTTTCTTTTCCTGCCATGTTTCCGCTTTTCCTCTTTGTGGTGAGCAGCTGCTGCCCATACAGGTCTGTCGCTCTTTGTCTTAAACCACGATGTAGCTTTCGTTTCCATCCCCATCCTGAAAAATCTGGCCTCTAGGACAAAACCTGATGAAAACAAATCCTGCACTGTAATAGGTGTGTTTTTTAGAGCTTTTTGTGAAAGCGATTGTGGTCTTAATGGGTTTTTACCTCATTCTTAGCTGTTGAAATTGCTTTCATCTAATGCTCTTTTCACAAAGATGACCTGTTTTGTAGGAATTGACCTGAGGTATGTTCTTTCTTTGCAATTTCCGTGCAAATTGCCAGAGATGTGATAAAAATCATATTTTTCCTTTCATTTCACCCAGCTTATAAAGTTACTTGTTTTTTCAGAATTATCCAGGAAGCTTTTCTTCATCAGACCAGAGCTTTAACTGCAGCCTATGACCTTTTTATACTGCAGCCTCCTCCACATGTCAGCAATTTTAATTTAAAACCTCAGTGCTGAAAAGCAGATTTTGCTGGCGAGCATACTTTCTCTATGATTACTATAGCCAGATTTACTGACAGTCTTGGCCCCGGGCTCCCTGTCTAAGAGAGACAGACCCTGTTGTAGGTGTATAGGTGTGTGGCCTGTAGACCTGAATTCAGCTCACCCACTATTCCTAGTTCGTGAAATCAGGTTTCCACTAGGAGGAAGCACGAAGCAAGAACAACCGCTGCCATCAAGCACAGTGTGTGAGTTGTGATTTAACCTGGGCCTGCATCAGGTCTCAGGCTGTGTGCTTCAGTGCTGATGCCTTTAATTGTGTTTATTTTGTAGGGTGGCATGGGGGCAGCGCTGCTCTCAGACCCGGACAAGATAGAGGCCGTAAGTATCTCCGAGGTGTCCTGCTGGATTTTCAGTCACTCTGAACTCACACACAGTACCCACTCCCACTCAGGAGTGACACTCATTTCCCAGAGGTTCTGTCTCGGGGAGATCAGAGAGCTTTGGTGTCTCACAGTCTTTATTTCACCTCATGATTGAGTGCAAAGGCTAGGAGGATAGCTTAAGAGACCAGTCTGTTCTATGAAGCATTACTTTTACACAGTAAATAACAGGAATGAGGCATGGCCCCAGTCTGCTTGTAATCTTTTCAGAGTTTAATTCTGAGAAGAAGCCATCTTTAAAAGATAAACACAGAGGAAAACCTGACTAATTTCTGAAATTTCCGGCTAGGATTAATTCAGCCACCTGCACCCCCTCAGGCCTGAATGTCCTTAACCTCAACACAAGTGTTCTGATCAGTTTAGAGTCAATGAGCAGTGAGGCAGAGAGCAGTGTGGCGCAAGGGAGGTAGTCTGGTGAGAAGGAGGCTTTGAGGCAGAGGGCAGTGAGGCAGAGGACAGTGTAGTGAGACGGAGGCAGTGAGGCAGAGAGCTGGGTGATGAGAGGGAGGCAGTGAGGCAGAGAGCTGGGTGATGAGAGGGAGGCAGTGAGGCAGAGAGCTGGGTGATGAGAGGGAGGCAGTGAAGCAGAGGGCAGTGTGGAGAGACGGAGACAGGGAGGCAGAGGGCAGTGTGGAGAGAGGGAGGCAGTGAGGCAGTGTGGAGAGAAGGAGGCAGTGAGAAGAGAGGGAAGCAGTGAGGCAGTGTGGAGAAAAGGAGGCAGTGAGGCAGTGTGGAGAGAGGGAGGCAGAGGGCAGTGTGGTGAGAGGGAGGCAGTGAGGCAGAGGGCAGTGTGGTGAGAGGGAGGCAGAGGGCAGTGTGGTGAGAGGGAG